AAGTTTTCACAACCCTGTGTCTTGGTGTCTGATGTTTCAGCGGAGCCCAGCAGCCTGTTTTGTGGGTTGGGGCACCTTTTTGCCAAGACCACACACACCATAATGCCCATCCTGGTCAGCTTGGGAAGATTACCCAAAGCCTAGAGGATTTCTGTTCCTGTACTGAGGAGAAGGAGGATATAAAACAAAAGCTGGAGCTCACATGGATAGACTTTCTTAGATAAAACTTGGAGCTTCCATAGTCTTTTTTCCCCCAGTTTATATGTTTTCTTTCTACCTTCCTTGCACCATGTACACAGAGTCATTTGTCTTTTATTCTCTCGAGACATGTACAGTGCATTGGTCTATTGAAGCTGCTTAATAATATGTGTGACCTGCACATCTGTTAATTAGAGTATCCCTTTGTTGTATTTGAAGAAGTATTTAAGTGAAACCATTTCCAGAGGAAAATGATGTCGGCACATGTAGACATTTAGCAGCATCCCAGCTCTCCTCTCGCTCCGACTTGATCATTTTCTTGCTTCCTTTCTTGTTATATGAATTTGTCATGGAAAGTTATGGACTGACAACCCTTGAAAACAATGATGAGCTATAAGGTCCCTTCCAAACCAAACCAGTCTGGGATTCTATGATTGATGAGCAGGGTAAAGCAGTGAGGGAGAGGTGGAGTCTGCTGAGACTTGGGCCCCCAAGAAAGTGGAGGGATCTCTGACTTCATCATAAAATTCACCCTGATTGCCTATATGAGACAGTGTCAACAAGAAGGGGAAGTCTCTCTTCTTCACTGTGCTCTTTATTTGTGTGAAGGGCTGGTGTGCTTTTCCAAAGGAACCCCAAAGTGATGTGGTTGCTCCTGCTTTCATATTGATGTGTACTTACTTGGGTCTGCCCATGTAAAATCTGTTCTACCTTTGCTTGCCACTTCACGCATTTATTTTCACTTCAATTTCTGAAGCAATGACATTGTGCACTGTATTTTGAGTTCTAATGTTGATTGAAGTTCTCCCTGAAAGGATGTGCACTTGAACTGTCAAGAGAGTGAGTGATAGACAGTAGGTAGAAGTACTTTTTGTGTCAAGGCTTTGTCAAGCTGTTGTTGTAAAACCTACTTTACTGAATACCAATAATTCCTGCTAGATGTTCAATCAAAAGATACTCTCTTCCAGCACCATTTTAGAGTAATATTTAATACTTGTGAGTCCTTCCCTAATACGCAAATGTAAGGTAAGTGAGTAGCAGTGCTTTCCTATAGCTTAGTCCATCTGGGGGGCTCCTATTCATATCTTTGCAGCTCAGGATAAAGGGAAAAACTCTTTTCACTCCTTTGCACACTGATGCTGAGAGAACTGGAATTGAGTTTGTTTAATGCCGTGTCTTTCATAACTGCTTATCCAGCACATTTTCCATAATGAAGATGTTTAATAACTCACAGCTGTTGACTTTTTTCCCCTGTAGGAAACATTTCTTTTTCCTACGAATATACGTTTTAAAATAAATAATTTCATAATGGCTTTAAAGATTATGAAGAGTCCAAATAGATGCTTAATCATCAAAGCAGCGTACTGTCCTCAGAATCACTTTCACCACTGAGGAAGCCTGAAATGTTGCACCCCCTTTCTTTACATTTGTATCAATACTTTTTGGTTTTCCCTTCTTATGTCAAAATACTGCATAAGTACAGTTCCCCTGTTATGCTTTTTGAAAGGCCAACATGAACAAGGCCACACCACTGGGCACGCAGAGTTTGACTAAGGTGTTTTGCTACAGGTAGTTGCTATCTGAGGCCATGAGATGGGTATGGAGTGTGAGTTTAACATTGAGAAATTGCCACCTAGAGCGGTTTGCTGGGGATCTGGCCTCATAATTTCCTTTACAAAAGAGATTTCAATTCCACTGACATTGGTTTTGGTTACAGAATAAAGTCTGAAAGGAGTTTCTAATCCAGTAGGAAGGCTGTAAATCCTTATACTCTCTGCTTTCATGCTGTATAATGTTTTAGCGCTTCTGCTTGATCACTGTAACAGAAGTAATTTCATTGCAGTCTACTCAGACAATGAAAAGAATGTAATTGTTTTGACTGAAAAACTCCTACAACTTCACAACTGTTGGGAATGCTTTATTGTTCTGGAGATGCACAAAGAGTGTCTCAGGAAAATGAATGAAATGTCATCTCATAGATGGGAACTTTGTAAAAAAGATTTGCTCTGTTAAAAGAAGCAGGCTGAGACAGCAGGGATGGGTCGGATAAAAAGGAGCAGGAGGAGAAATGTGCTTGTTGAATGTTGTTCTCTGGGCTTGTAGTAAATGTAGGGGAAAATCAGAGTGTTAAAAATGCAAAAGTGTTGGGGTTTAATTACTACCAGAAACAAAACCTGCAGAGAGGATAACTTGTAACCCAACTGCTGTCTTAGGGAGTTGACTGATTGGCTTGTTTAATTGTTACAATCCTATTGTACATAGGAAATAGAGTGGCAGTGGAATCCAGTGATAGAATCCTGGAATGGTTTGTGTTGGAAGGGACCTTAAAGCTCATCCAGCTCCAACCCCTGCCATGGGCAGGGACACCTTCCACTAGAGCAGGTTGCTCCAAGCCCCTGTGTCCAACCTGGCCTTGAACACTGCCAGGGATGGGGCAGCCACAGCTTCTCTGGGCACCCTGTGCCAGCGCCTCAGCACCCTCACAGGGAAGATTATAGTGATAATCTTGGTTCAGAAAGAGCCATATATACATGTTCTGTGTAAACAACATGAGCTGTTGTTTTGGGAAGTACACCTGCATTTGTACTGCTCATGCATGTATGTAGTGCTGGTGTAACAGGTTTTTGAGTTCGGCTATAGCAGTTTAGGTAGTGGAAGGAGCAAATTCTGGAATAGCAGGCCAAAGGCTGCCCCAGTTCTTATCTCTTAGGGGTCCCACTTGTATTTTCTGGGGCTATGGGAATGTTTGGTCTAAGATGGGTAATACAAAGAATGAGACAATTTATACAGTTCAAGAAGAAATGTTCTGCATTTGCATTAAATAAAAGCTTGGGAAGTAAAGGAGGAAGAAGTACAGGTGCACTAAAGGGAAATAAAGGAAAAGAGAAGATGAAGTGGAAGAGGCTATTAGAGATTTTGTTATTTTCTGGCCATTAATTTCACTGGGTTGCTTTTGTTGCAAGAAGACAAATCACTATGCACATTCTTTCATGACTTCTAACACCCCAGCAAAGACAGAGGAATTAAATATGCACTGAAATGCCTGAAGGGATTTAGTATAAGATCAACTAATTTCAACTTACAGATCCAAGAGAGAAGCTTCTTAGTGTGCTCTTGAACCTGTTGCTGTGCAGCACCAGGGGTTCATCCTGGTCCTGAAGCTCTTGGGAAGGGATATTTCATCTCGCCCTTTTCCTGGTCCTGGCTCAGTACTTCATTGGAACTTGGGTCTTTAATGGCTCGTGCCAGCTGAGATTTCTTAACAGGAATCTTTAATATGTGTTTTTTCTTTTCAATTCAGGTTGTGAAAGGCCTTACCTATTTATGGAGTCTAAAGATTCTGCACAGAGGTAACAGATGTTTTCTGTTTTCCAATGAAATACCATATTATTTTATATTAACAACACTTCTGCAGAGACAGTAGATCTTAGAAACATCTGCTTTGATTCCAGTGGAGTAATGCAGAATGAATCTTACTCATTAGCCTTGCATATTTTCTGGTAAAATATTTTTATTGCTGTTCTTTTTTATTGCCCTCCCTGTTCCTCTGCAAAGAAAAAGACTAAAGAGAGAAACAAATTTTATAGAGATTGAGATGCTCAGTGTTACAGACAGGTGCCCAGTGGCAAAATCAGCAAGGAAATCAGGTGTTTGCCTGGGATTGGAAATAGAAGATGGATAATGTATTGTCTTATGTACCTCAGAAACCTCACGTGACAGCCACAAGCATTACAAGAGTCCCTAAAATTGTGGCCCACTGTCCTCTAACATGGTCATGAACAATTAAAGAACCTTTAAACCTGCTTGCACATCAGCCATTTTATTTTGGGGTTTTGCTGTTTATTCTCTTTCCTGAAGCTCATCTGTATTTTTTTAAACTTCTCATTTAGTTCTTGCTTTTTAATGTTGTTTTATTTTGTTAAAAATTTATCTGTTGTGGAAAGTTAATTTAGATTTATTAGAACTTTCAAAACCAGTGTAAGTTCTGGAAACAGGGGAAAATGCTGTTTAAAGAACGAAGAAGCTCTTCCCCCTACACCACCTCAAAAAAGGAAAACTCATTACATTTATAATGTTTCTAAAGTGTCTGAAAGTAACTGCTCTGGTTCCTAATGTTGCTAACAATACTGTTTAATTTAACCCATCTGCTCGCTCAGCCCGAGTGCACAGTTGGAGTGTGCAGTAACCGACATCATTTGGGATTGAAAGAAAAGGGTAAAGTAGAGAGACATGTAGAAAATCTTATGTTGCAAACCAAGTAGGTAAGAGCATTTCTTGTGGCATGACTGGTTTTGGAGTGGCTGAGAGGTGGGTGCAAGGCCGAGCAAGGTGATGAGCAATGTCTGGGTTGTTCACCTGGTGGTGTCCTTGGAGCTCAGACTGTCCTCAGGCTTTTGTGGAGAGTTGGGGTGGAGAATGAGATTGATCCTTCCTTTGTGCAATGCCCCAGCGAGCAGCTGTGCAACAGGACATTCCTCCTTGGTCTGACAGCATCTCCTTCCTGGGAGATCGCTCTGACGTGAGAGCACAGGTTCTCTCCTGGGTGGGAGAAAAAGGGCTGTGGCCAGAAGAGTGAGTAGAGATCAAGTAAGGTCCTGGCTTTGTTACCCCTAATTAGAGGCTCAGTGAAACACTAAGGCTGCTGGTGTATTTGACCCTTGGCTATCACTGGATTAAAAGAACAAAAATAACCCAGAATCCATGACCAACTCAGTGCAGGCACAGGTTGCCAGGGAGGCCTCATTTCTGATGATGGTTTAAGCATTTCACCTGCTAGCCTGAATGTTGCCAGATGCAGATTTAGGAGCTCCATCCACTTGCAGCAAGAGGATGAACTGTCTAGATGCCAGAGCTGCTACAGCAACTGTCAGAATAAATGAAAAGGTAGCTAGAACATCCATGGCTGGACATTGCTACACAGTCTTTGCCACACTTTTACAACACCCAAAGAGAAAAAAGCACATTTGGATTTTATTTTTCATATAAGATTCTGGTCACCCCCTGAATGTGATTTGGAGAGAGCATTGTGGGCAAGCATAAGTGCTACAACTGCAACGTTTTATTGTTTGTTCTGCTGTAAATTTAGAACCTGGATCTGATTTTCGCCTTGCCAGTAAAACAAAATCCCCCCTTTTATAAGGGTTTCATTGCCTTGATTGAAGAGCAGCTCGGAGGTTTTGATGAATTGTGTATGGTCCTTGCCATGGCCTGAAGAAAAGCGCAGAAACTGATTTTTCATCACACTTCAGATGTTTCTGGCCTTGGTCTGTTGCTGGAATGACCAAGGTGAGAACAGCACTGCAAAGTGCCATGGAGGGGATAACTAGAATTTGTGAGAGGAGCAAACTGGTAGTACTGCAGAGTTTCCTCAAGGTTTTCAGTCTTGGTACCTGTTTTGAGGACACAGAAAATGTGTGCATACTTCTCTGTCTTAAAAATGGGTGCAGAGTAACACCATGCAAGGAAAATGCCTGTTTCTCAGAGCAACGCCTGGCTGCTTGGTTTTAATGCATCAGAGGTAAAAGAAAGACCATTTAACCCTGACTGCCTTGCTGTCACATGTAAAAGATCATGCAGGAAGCTCGCACAGGCTAAGGAGTCAAGAATTTCCACCGCGACATAAGGAAGGTGGAGAAGCTGTGTAAGGCAGCGCAGCAAAGACAGTTTGTGACTAGAGCGTGGATTAAAGCAAAGGAAACAAACAATGAGCAAGTCTTTTATTGCAGATCAGACATTTCAGCAAATATTACAGCTTAACTTCAAAACAAACCTTGCAACTAATGAGGTGATAGCCGTGCATATTAATAAACCCAACGCTGTAGTCTTAGTCATCACACCCACATCAAACATAAACATAAGATTAACACCTACACCACTTCTTTGGAAGATGTGAGAATGTCCCAATGATAAGTGTGCTCTTTTCCCCAGAGGATAAGAAGTAGAAATGGAAGGGTAATGAGAAATTAACTTAGATTTAAAACAGAATTAGCAATTAAACAAGTCTAATCATGTACAAAGTCAAAGTTTGTATAAAGACAAACCAAAATCTGTTAAGTTCAAGAATAAGTATAGACCGTATGCATTTTATCTGCTACGTTTTTTTCTCTTCACACCTCCTTATTAAAGGAAATGTATGAAATCAATGTTACCCACTTGTGTTTAATTGTGCTCATCTGTATTTGTATGTGTGTTGGGGGCTGGTATGTATTTGTGTTAGTTTGGGCCCCTTGGTTTCTGAGCAGGTTTTAGATCTGTGTCTCTTCTGGTCTCTTCTGTTTTGTGTTGTGTGAGGTTGAGCAGAGTCAAAGATCTGAAGATCTTCCCAGGCTGTTGGTGGCTGGGAGGAGAAAGGAGGTTTGTGCATCACACAGACCATCTCTTTTTTACCCTGGGTTATTCCCATAGAAGGATATTCAAATCCTCTTTGTTTTGACAACCTACTGGAGCTAAGGAGTGCTGGTTGGCAGGGACAGGTACTACTGCAACAGGGACAAGGAGTCTTCCCATCTTGGTTTGTTGAGGATTTCACCAGAGGTGCCCAGAGCAGCATATTTAACTTTTCACCTACCCTCTTTTTAGCTTTGTGAGAGAAAATTGTTAGTGCTGAATGTAATGAAGCACAGACAAAAATACAACGGCATGTGTATTTGTACCTTTACATACTATATATGTGTAAGTAAGCACATACATGCACACTTGTGGACCACTTAGGCTTATTTACAACAGAATACTCCTGGCCTTTGCAGCAAGCATGCCGAGGAAGTCATTGTGGCAAGGAAACACTGTCCTTTCCTCAGCAGCTTCTCTTTAACAGCAATGTTCTGTGAGCTGTCGGCAGGTAGAACTGTGCTTTTGTATCTCGTCTTCCTTGAACCTGGCATGCTGTGGTTTTGTATGCTTAAAAGATAGGAGAAGTCAAGAGACAGCTTTTAAAGATACGTTGTTTTGTTGTTGTTTTCCTCACAATCACTAATCTGTTTGCTTTCAATAAAACGAGATGAAATGTTTGGTGTTCAAAAAGCTGAACCCGTGACAGTTCTGTTTACTGGTAAGCGCGTGCGTTGCAGGTCCCATTTGTTTGCAGAGAGGTGAAACTACTTAGGCAGATATATCATAAAGAAGACTTGTTCCTCCTTTATAATGATGCTTCATGGAAGTCATTTGTATTAGGCAAGCACTGGTAATGGGAGCATAATGACCCCTTTTGGCTCTTGTTTAAATTCTTTCACTTCTAAACAGTAATATTAATCACTAGCAGATGGTGCAGAACATTATTTATGCACATTTGTTTTCCAAAACCAAAAAGAAATGTTTAACCCATTAACTGAAGCCGTTCATGAAACAAAAAGGCTAATTTACTGATTGGGTGATTTTTCTTCCCGCTTTCAGTGTGAGACACTTTGTGAAGTGGTGTCTTTGTTGAGGATTGTCACTTTCTTTTTTTCTTGAGGAAACCAACACAACTGTTGGAATTCATAGCAAGTATTTGCTGAAATCCCTATTTGTGGTGCTAGTTAAATTCTGCTGCATGGACAGATAGTATTTGTTGTTGTAGCAGTGCTTGGTTGGCTGCAGCTTGCTCAGTGGAGGCCCCAGCCTGCACAGGCTCCCCTCCTTCATGGGCTGACCATCAGTTGCTTTTTTCTGTTAGGATTTTCCATTTTGTTTTATTTGTGGAAGGATTTCAGGATCAAGCAACACTCGTTGAATGACGGATGTTCTTTTTAATTGTATTGACTTACTGTCACATCCCATGTGGTGGCAGGGAAGGGAAGCTGGGTTTGCAGATCCCCAGTGACGCAAGGTGGTGGCTGGACACCTTGGCTCTAACTTGGTGGGAACTGGCATTCCCGGTGGGACAGGGGACATATGTGGCATGGTGGTTTCCTCCAGTGAGTCGTGTTAAAGTAGTAAGGACTTGTGGGCTGCCCTTGGAGAACATAGAATCACAGAAAGGTTTTTGTTGGAAGGGACCTTAAAGCTCATCCAGCTCCAACCCCTGCCACGGGCAGGGACACCTTCCAGTAGAGCACGTTGCTCCAAGCCCCATCCAACAGTTCAGCACAAGCCCAGTATGTGGGTAACTCTGTTGGCTGCCATATTATTGGAAGGTTAAACAGGATTACTGTGCAAAGTCCTTTTCTCCTCAGGATTCAGACAGAGTCTCTGATGGACTTGCCATGTCTTGTTAGATGTAGCAAAGTCAGTCGACACCAGAGAGATCTGTGCTGTTTGGGAGCTGCCACAAGCAACTCTTTGAAGTTTTAGGTAGAAAACATATTCCTAAAATGTCGTTGGGAAGTGGACAGGAGATTGGTGCCTGCATGGATGGCTCCATAGCAGTGTTCTGCCTCATCACATGCGGCGGGGGAATGGGTAAAAGTCCACCATACATGCAGCATGTGGATTGAATTCCTGAAGGTGAGTTGAGATCAGGATGACAGAGAGTCTGACAATGCTGTAGTGTGATGGAGACACTAATGACTGCTTGTTCTTCTGGCTTTGGAGGGAAATTGCAAAACATACCAGAAGTATCAATACCTAACTTAAAATGTACAGACCCACTTAAGTTTTATAATGTACTGTTGGATGCTCCCCTTTTTTAGACTGGATTTTTAGCTCATATATAGGAAAACATTTAATCAGCTTGTTAATTGAGGTTATACATTTCTACGTTACAGAGACAAATTAAGCAAGCTACTGTGGTACCAAGAAACATCTGCTAAGCAAAAGCAAACTTAATGATAAACAAAATTAGGTTCTTTTCTGGTTGAGTTTCATCCATCTGCACCCAACTAGTGTTCACTTCTAAAGAAGGCAAAGATATAAGCTATTGCTTTTAATCCATTTTGACAGAAGAAAGCAGTGATTAGGCAAAGCCACTGTGCTCTAATCTTCCCAAGTTTAAGCCAGGCCATAACGTGCACATGGTGCTTTCTGACTGGCACACAAAAGATGCTCAGTGTTTCCTGCATTACCATTGAGTTTATTCACGCATTGATTTTAGAGTATGAAACAGAAGTAAACCAACTTCTGGCATCACAGGGGGTCAGCGTTAAGATCTTATCTGGCTTTATGATGTACATTGATGTTTTATTTGTTGGAGCAGGATTAGTAATCATTAGTAATCATTTTAAAGCATTGCTCCAAATCCATGCGATCGGAGCTGTGTTAATGCAGTAGAAGCCGTGGAGGAGGAAGCTGGTAGCTCTGAAGAATGGTGTCCCTGAGAGCAGAGCTGCCCTGTATGCGTTCTTGTAGCTCAAATGTGCTTGTTTGTTTTGTGTTTTGCTGTGTTCTTCTATACAGGTGTTTGTGTGGGACACTTTGTATTGGTAATTTTGATAGAATATTCTGCTCTTGTCACCACGTGGAATTAGGTGAGGGCTGTTGGAGAAAAGGGAGTCGGGGTTAATTGCAGTGATAAAATACAAAGTCACGAGGCTGGGAGGAATGGTGAAAGGTCAGCCCAGCTATCCCTTAGCATGAAAACAAGCTTCAGTCTTTGCACCATTGCTTTTGGCTTGTTCCTAAATCGTCCAGTGACAGTTTGTTCCCTTTCTGCTATTTCCACTTCACACCACCAGCCACAGATCCTTTTTTGCAGACCTGCTCCAGGCACTTGTTTAATCCTATATTTATGCAGTTGGTTAATCCCTATCTAAACACAGTGCTTCCATTTATCCCTATTGAATTTCATGTAATGTTTTCACTCTGATTTTCCAGTTTGTCAGGATCACTTCGAATTCTCAGTCCTATCTTCCAGCACGCTTGCTGTCCCTCCCAGATTGGTGTGACCTGCAGCTTTAATAACATGGATTATTACTATTTCAGATATGACGTCTGTGCTACTGACTGCTACAAACCAGAGGCTGCATTTGAAATACTCTGAAATATTTCCTGTTAAAATCCATCATGCTGATACTGGTAACAATCTCTGCGTACACGATGCGTGTCTCGGATATCTAGAGAATATACTTTTGTTCCCAAACAGATGTGAAGCCGTCTAATATGCTGGTGAACACACGAGGCCAGGTGAAGCTGTGTGACTTTGGGGTCAGCACACAGGTAATTCCCCCTTTTAGATACGTGCCTGCTCTCTTCCTAATGCCAGAAATCACCTGGCTGCCAGACAAACAGCCCCACAGCAAGCTCCCCTCTGCTGGGAGAGCCCTATTCATTTTTAATCTCTGGGCGACTTTTCTTCATCTGAATATGATTGTTCATTGTTTAATGACAGTAAAAACTGCTGATATTGTAATTACTACTTACGAATAGCAAACTTCATTGATATGCAGCTTTGATCTGAAAGCGTTTTGGCCAGACAAAAGGGAGGGCAGAACGAGAGATGTGTCTGGGGAGCCCAACTGGCCCACAATAAAAATTAATATTGGGAGTAACAATAGTGGTGGGCTTCTACAATGTGCAGCACAAATTTTAATTAATTTCCATTTTGGGCCTCCCTGGAGAACTTCTCTGATAGTGACCCATGAGCTTGCTGTGATGTTGATTTGAATTTCAGCACCTTTACTCTCAGCCAAACACGAGGACCAAAGAGAAGGTCAGCCTTGTATTATAAGTTGTCAGAGTCTGTTGTCCCTCCAGCGTATTTAGTGCTCGTTGCATTCAAGTGATGAATGTGGCTTTATTCACATCTTGAGCCAGCTGACTGAAAAATGAGCATGTTCAATCCTACTTCAAATTGACTTTTTATATCAGACTAGTTTGGGGTACTAAAGCGATAAGTATCCTGTTTAACAGAATTGTTTAAGGTTATCTGCCATAAACTGTAATGCAGTGCTTGTTTAAATTGGAACTCTCATTCCGAACAAAAGAGAGATTTAATCATTTTTAATGCCTTTGCAGATAAATTTGTTCCCTTTTACATAATTTTTAGTTGATTTATAGGAATGATGATTGTAGGTTAAATGAGGAATAATTGCCCATTTTATTTCCACATTATCTTTATATTGTTCTAACAGACTGTTTTGTCTGATAGCTGGTGAATTCTATAGCCAAGACGTATGTTGGAACAAATGCTTATATGGCGGTAAGTGGATTTATGCAGGAATTACATTTAAATAGAAGTATTTGTTCACAGTCTTGTTCTGTGTAGTGCAGGATATATTCTAAATCAATTCTCAAACTTCATCTCTTGCTATACCCAGTATAAGCTATGTCTTAACTTTGTGTGTAACGAAACAAGTCCCTTGTGCTGTCTCACAGACCTGCTCTCTTCCTACCTGTGCTCCCTACCAGCTCTGTGACACTGTGCTTCTTGCTGATAGGAAAGAGTAATACTGAAAAAGTGTTTATTTAATGTCTTTCTGGTTGCCTTTACTGCATTGTAACAGCTGAGAACAAAGCAGAGAAGCCAGTCCAATGTTCAAAAACCAGTTTTCCACAGAGATAGTAGAATCATAGAATCACAGCGTGGTTTGGGTTGGAAGGGACCTTAAAGCTCATTCAGTTCCAACCCCTGCCACAGGCAGAGACACCTTCCACTAGAGCAAGTTGCTCCAAGCCCCGTCCAACCTGGCCTTGAACACTGACAGGGATGGGGCAGCTTCTCTGTTGAGACGAGACCACCTTTGCCTTATTTCTGTACATTAAAGCATAAGTTCCCATCATTTTTAGACCAAATGAACTCATTACTGAAGATGTCTCACTAGGGGAAAGGCTGCTGCTGTTAGCTAGGATGGAAGGTTTGGGTTTAGCAGTTCCAGCAGACCTGACAACTGGCATGTGGTGTTCGTGTCATGGAGATTAATATGGTGACAAGGGCCAGTCTAAAAGTAAACTACAAAAGTTAGCATTTATTTTCCATTAGATGAGTTTGATTAATTTCAATTCTCCATTTAACAGATGTGGAAACTTAAATGCTTCAGTTCAGAGCACTGTACTAACCGTTGTCTTCTGGTTTTGGCAATTAAAATTCTAACAAATTATTTATGTCATAATATTAATGAGGAAAAAATCAGCTTGTTTAAAAAAAGAAGAGAAAACGATACCAAGTGGTTGATACTTGTATTTTTCAAACCTCAGAAAAGAGGAGAGAGAAATCCATGACCTTTAATTGCTTTCAGGTATTTTTTCTTACTTTCTTGTGGGAAGAAAGCAGACCATTTATTTGCTAAGTGCTTCTCTAGTCAAGGTGTACTCATTATGTAGCCTCTGAAACACTCGTGTCACCATCCTAGAAAGACTTGGGCTTTCCTGTGTCATCACAATGTTATGTGCAGAAAAGTGTTTTAAAAACATAAGAAAGGAAAAATAAATCTGGTCTGGGCATTACCACTTTTATAGTAACGTGCTTATTTTGATGGCTTCGTTCTGTAAAAGAACTGGAATAGAGTGATTGAGACAAATAAACAGCTTCAAATTAATCAACTTTTCCAAGTCAGCTGTAACTCTTAGAGTGGTCTTAAGCAGGTCTGAGAATTAAATTGCATTATGCTTTTAGTGTGCAAGTCAAGATTACTGTTCTCTTTCCCAGGTGTACATTAAATAAATTACTTTTTTTCCTTACTGTTTATGGATGAATGTAATGTGTTCACCTGCTAATGGAAAAAGAGGGATTTAAGCTCAAATATACTTGATCTGATTTCTCGTGTTAGAATAGTTTCACTTGCTGAATGAGTCATTTGTTGTCACCAGATTTGTAGGCAGGTCATCAAAAAGTAATGAAGGCCATAAGGTTTGGTTTGCCCATTTGGCAGACTGGGAGTCAGTTTGAAACCATTAAAAAAATGGAGGTTTCTGTTGAAAATAAACAAACAAAAAACGCTTATTGATAGAGAAATTAAAATTTCCAGCAAAAATGGTATCTTCTGTAAAATCATTTTGTCAGCACTTTATATAGACAAAAAATTTTGGATGGAAAAAGTAACCAGTCGTAGAAATTTAAAGAGAAAATGGTTTTGAGCTCTGTATCCTTGGGATGATCTATGTTGCACGCTTTATGTATGTGCTACTCTTATTTTCGTCTTCTTTTCCATACTCTTAAATCCACATGAGTAGACTTCTTGTTTAAACATGCGAGTGATTTACTTGCTGCTATATTCTGTGAAGACATCATTTCTAACTGTAAGTTGCCATCTAAAGCTTGAGCTGTTATGAGGGAAGAATAAACCACTTAATATCCCTCAGTGTGAATTATGCATCTGATTTGGTGGCTTGAGAAAGGCCAGGGTCTCATCGGCACTAAAAGAATCTGCTGTTATCGTCTTGCCACAGGTGTAAGATTTTTGGGTCACTGTTCAGCTCAAAATAAATGAGGCTTAGTCAAAAAGATTTGTTGTTCCAGTTCCATTCAGAGGTGGTTTTTAGGTTATGGCAGTTGTAGAAGACAATCCTTAAAGGCAGTATGGGCAGCACTTTGGTTTTTACTTAACGTTCATGCTGCGATAAAAGCTCTTGACCTGGGATTAGCAGAGCAGAGGAAACATCCGAAAACACATTGGACTGGCACTAATTTGGGAGTTTGTTTTCTAACAAAAGTCTCTGGATTATTAAAGACTAAAAATACAAGCAGTGCTTCGTAGGTAGTTGGGCTAGACAGGTGCATTAACAGCACAGTGGGGAGAGAAGTCTCATGGAGCCTTTTATTGTTACGTTTTATGCTGTACTTGACCTTGGAAATGCTTAAATTGTAGCTTTCAAGTGAAAACTAGCAGTTATATTTTACAGCATTCTGTTTCATGAAGCATTAAATTTGCTATTAATAGTTTTGAGTAAAGTCTTTTATTTTCTATAGGTCAGAAATGAAATTAAAAAGTATATAAAATAAAATTGCTGGCATGTGACTTCATTGGTTCCTTTGACTTCAATAATTTTGGTTTTTAAACCATGGTTACTCCCCAACCCCTTGACTTAACATTAGGAGCCTGTTTTCCAAGTGTACCTTGTGATAGACATATGTACCATGGACTCACAACTTGACCTTGTGCTCCGCTGCACGTGTGCAAGCCATGGGCTTTCTGTACGTTGTTGTTGTTGTTGGATAAAACATCCCAAACACAAATGCCAAGGCCAACTTTGCAAGGTGTGTAGCTACACATCCGAGCATAACCAAGTCCTTTGCCCTAGCAGAAGAGGCACAATAAATAAAGAAGTCGTGTTTGAGGAGTGGGTTTGCTCTCTGCCAGGTTAGCTGGTGAGCACTGAGCTTCTTTGCGTTTTCTCAGTTTGCCCTGGGCTGGCTGCTGTGGAATATATTGTTGGTTGTTGGGCTCAAGAAGATGTTTCTTTCCATCTCTTTGCAGCCTGAGCGGATTTCAGGAGAACAGTATGGAATTCACTCGGATGTTTGGAGTCTAGGGATTTCCTTCATGGAGGTATGCAAATATCTGTCATTCTCATGTGCACATGGCAAGAATCAAATCTACCATCAAAATATTTTCGTGTAGTCTTTGTAAACTCTTTTATATGTGCATGTTTTGAACTATTGCTAAACTTCTTGGCTGTATTTAGAATGGGTTTGTTCTTACCGCCTTCAAATTAGATGTTAAAGTGCCTCTATACAAACCATTAACAGTCTTAAACCCTCGAATAAAACTCCACATGGGAGTAGGAAGTAGGGCCTGGTCCATGGATGCCTCTGCAATCTTTCAATCCTCTGGGATTGAAGATGATGGTGTTTCTGTATTTCTTCACAGGCTGGGAGAGAGGGGACTATTATTAGGGTTAAAATGGCATTATGCAGATTCCAGGTTTGAGCTGGTTAATGGCCTTAGAAAATCTTTGTAGAAATATTTGCCCGATGGTATGAGTCCTTCCTTGTGTGATGAAATGGTTTGGGTTGGAAGGGACCTTAAAGCTCATCCAGTTCCACCCCCGCCAGGGGCAGGGACACCTTCCACTAGAGCAGGTTGCTCCAAGCCCCTGTGTCCAACCTGGCCTTGAACACTGCCAGGGATGGGGCAGCCACAGCTTCTCTGGGCAAAGGTGCCCTTCCTTTTTCTTCTGGTGTGGTATCTGATATATCACTGTATCATTATGTCATATAACGGTAGAGTAATAATTAAGGTAAAGCTGAATATGCCTTTTGGTGAAGTGCAACTGATGTTTTAACAGAAGATTAGATAGAAGTTAAGTAGTCTTGGTGCTGCCCCCCTGCATCTAGGCAAATTTCACATTCTGTAGCCTAAAAGTTAACCGAGACTATTGTGTTATTTTCAAACAATAAATTCCTTGCCAAATCAGTTACAACCACAGTGAAAATACTTAATGCTGAATCATTGCATTTAGCTCTTGTAAATCTTTTCCAGAGCCTGACTGAAGCTAGCTCTGAATTACAGCGACATACTTTAATGTGTCACAGGGGATGCAGGTCTCTTAATTTGTTTTACTGCAAATTTTAATGGCTTGTGATGCTGGAGAGCCCTCACAATTTTGGGAGAGATACAGACTGTGCTCACACACTCTGTAAGTGAATCCAGCCAACAAAGGGCTAAATCCAGATTGTATTATATGAAGACTTGACTATGGCATTGTCCTGATTCACAGTGGAATAGAGTGATATTAATGCAGAAGTCCAATAGAACAAGCATTTACTGATTTCTTTGCTGAATAAAAAATGTATTTTGATGTGCAGCAGCAATGTGATGATTTACCATGTAGGCAAAGATACTTGGAGTGCAGTTTAGGATTATTAGTAGGTTGCCTGTCTGGTCATGAATATGATTTGAAGGATGAATTTCATGTTATATGAGCCAACGTTAGGAAAACACCTTTCATTTGTATTTTATCTCCTCTTTTAAAACTTCTCAACTTTTTTTTCCCCTTCTCTCACTTTCCACAAATGTTTTCTGAACCAGATGTACAAAAACCAATTTGGTTTGGTGTGCTTTGTTAATTGGGATGTCATCTGGTCCTCTGGGACCTCTCTTCAACGTGATCGCTGCTTTATTGAAGTGGTTTGAGTGATGTGTTAAATGATGAAAGCAAGGACAGTGCCTTAGAAAAATGGCACAGAAAAGGTGAAGAAGATGCTCAAAGAGCCACGCAAGGTCACTGTCATTAAAGTAACACTGTATTGACATGGGGATTGGTAGTGGAGACACCCAGGCCCTTGTTGATGGAGCTGTTAAAAAGGGAAGCTAGCGTTTGCTGTAGGATTTTAAAATCATTTCCACTTAGAGGTGCAGTGCTCTAATCCCTACAACTTCGTGCTAGCACTGTTAGAGCATGTTAATTTAAAAGGAATGGCACGTAGGACCAAGTTAGCAAGGGCTGTTCTAATGTACGAGAATATAAAATATCAGTTAAGTAAATCTTCTCATTTTCTTTAATATTCTTCTGAGCCTTTCAGATGTCTTGAATTTCTTTGCTGCAAGCTTCATGTAATGAGAAACTGAGTTTTACTTTTGAAGGTTAAGAAAACTGCCTCAAAAAACTTGCTGGCAGAGTATGAAAAGTATTAGATGGTGGGAACTACCTAAGTCTTGAGAGATGGTGAGTGTTCTTGTTCCCTTTGAGGTAAGAGGTATCTGAGAGTGCTCAGTCTTTCCTTTGCTGGAAATAAAGAAGAAGTTATAAATTAAAAGAGAAATACTGCTAGCATTTCTTCATCATTATTATTATTATTATTATTAAGTTTGCACTTCTTCAGGATTTTTTGAAGTTAATTGAATTTCATACATATTCTGTAAACGTGTTTAAAGTGTTTTATCGCAAACAGTTTGTGTGTTTTCATGAGGTTTTAGATGCTTCATTGAGGTGCTCCTGGCTTGACAAAGTGAGTTCAATTTCAACTGATGACATTGCTGTCACTACGCTGAAGACTGTGTCAGCATTTTCATTTATAAAAGCTCTTTTTCAGGGCTTTATATCTCAGTCATAAATACACTCCGGGCTGGGCTGAGCCTGAGAGCTGTGTGCACTCTGTAACCGAGGCAGTCTCCCTCCAAGAGCCATGTCCTGCACAGGATAAACTCAATTGCCTAATATTTCTTGTTATTCTCCAGTATGACTCTCATCCTGCCTTGCATGGCTGTGAGCTGAAAGTGAAATTTAAAGCATTCGAAGGAGGATAAAATCCATCTTGTTGGGTTTTAAATAGGCAGCGTTCTTGTCCAGTGGTGCCTTTTTGAGGAGCAGGTATCCCTTCAGCAGAGCCGCTTCTCCTGGGATAAGAGACTGCTGCCAGCGACAAGAACCTGGTTGAGAAGAGCTTTGGTGGGACCATGTAGGGCTAGTGTCTTCTAGGGTGCTCCTGCAGGGGATTGCTTCTGGGTTTTCTCCCAGATTTTGCCATCTGAGAGCTGACTGCTAAGGAGCACTGGCATGCTCTCAAGACAAGACTGAGGACTGGAGTCTCCTACGTGTCCTGAGGAGAGATGGTAGGTGAAAAGGGATTTTGGGAAGGGAATGGAATAGAGTTGTGGTCAGAGTTGTTTGTTGAGGTGAAGTATAGGCTTGCAGATCTTTCCCAGAAAATCCAGGGCTCATTTTATGTACCGATAAAATTGGTATTACGTTATATTGAAATGCAGGAAATAAGTGATTTGCTTATGCCACAAACCTAGTAAGTTTTGGAAGTAGAATATTGGCTAATGATACCTTTTGCACCTCCTTTTCTATGACATGCTGGTGTCTGCTTTCCACAGTTCTCTGCTGATAAAAAGAGCTACTTTTCCTGTGTTTCAGGCCTCTTTTTAAAATTAACTTTTCTTGCAAACATGATGAGTGTTCTCTCCTTTAGAGAAAAGGAGCTTGTCTGGCAGTTTTAGCATTAGAAACAAGTTCTTTAAACTCCCTGAATGAGAACATGACAGCAAAGAGGAGGAACATGTTTGAAGAGGGTGCTACAAGAGAAGAAGCTCTGCTTCAAGATGATTCTCTTAAACATCTTAAAGATTGAAGTGCTTTAACTGCATAAAACTGATATAAAGGTTCGTGTATATGTAATCTGGTCAAGGAGAGGAGGTTTCTGAAGAACTTTCTAAGGAGGCTGAAACATGTCATCAGTCACGCATCGTCAGCTTCAAGATTGTGAGCTGATCTGCAGGAAGCTCTGCAGACCACAGTTTTGCCTTCTGCAGGATTTCACCTAAGTGTGGACGTTATGGTTGGTCTTTCATCAGTATTACACCCTTACCTAAACAATAGCAGGTAGACAGATGCTGGGGGTGGAATCTGAGACCCGAAGAGGTGGTAGAGCACGGTTTCAGTAGTGGCACTGGAGACATGGTGAAGGTTTGGTAGCAAGAGGTGCAATCATGATGAGACATCTGTGAACGTCTGTGTGAGGCACGGACTATGCAGTGACCTGCAGTGTCAAAAGCCACACTGAGCAGAGACAGGAGGAATATTAATTAAAATAGCCCATTAAAAAAAGGCAAGGGTCAAGCTTAAAAGGAAAATGAGAATTGCATTTGATCTCCATACAGAGCAGGAGTCTTGGTATTGTAACGAAATCCTTGGCTGAAGTGAGGTGTGTCTGATCAAGTGACAGTTCTTACTGGGCTTGGCCTTGCTTTTTGTGTGCTTGCAAGGAGCAGAACTTTATCTTACTTCATTAAACTGGAGATACAAGGAAATGCCTTGCCACGGTGATGCTGCTGGTGCTGGTGGAGCCATTGAGAATAGCAGGAGGCATGAGGAAAGCAAGCAAGTAAAAAGCACTTTGTTGCAACGAGCCTCACCTTGTTACTCTGGTTTTAAGGATTGTAGTAATGTGATTTGTATGGACAAATCCTCAGGTGCTTCACTCAGTGTTGAGAGTGGCTATAACGTGCAGAGTTCCGCTCAGCAATTTGAGTTGTTCTTATTGTGGCGCATTTATGTGGTTTTAATCATTCTGTACTGAATGCTGTGTTTCAGAAACTTGATCTTAGGAAAAAACTGGCCTGTGTGCTTATTATTTTTCCTCCCTTGAGCTATTTCAGGGGATTTTTCAAGGCAGTGGCCGTTAGCTCCATTTCCTCATCTGCCATCTTCAGCAGCCACCACGATGAAGTCAGACAATGTCCAGCTCCATCGCGATCTTTGTGGTGGCGGAATTAGAAGTAAAGGTACCAGTGCCTGAGGGTTGGGTCATGAATTAATAATTGCTGTGTGGTGGGGGAGGCCCGTCAGAATAGCTGAGAACGGGAAGTTGCCTTGCAGAGCACTATCAATCACTCAGTGACCATAACTTCCAGTAATTAGTGTATTTTATGGGCCTTTGCTTCAGTGACTCGGAAGCACATATGCTCCACTCACAGCTAAACTTAGCCAGAGTAATATTCCAGGATGATTTATCCGCTTGCTGCACTGGGAAGTAACCCTATATTAGGTGAAGATTGTGAACTAAGCTGCAATAAAGTGTAAGTTTAGGTACAGTTTGTGCGGG